CGCCATCTCTTAGTTAAACCGGAAAAAACTTATGCATACACCTGGTACTCCTAGAAATGGGACTTCCATTTTAAATCTTTTTTTTTTTTAACAAAATTATATACATGTTTTGATAGAAAAATATACAATTCGTGAAAGCATGTGTTTGAATACGATTACGCCAAATACTTTTGAGTCTCGGTTTACTTTTTTCTTTAAAACTTAGAAATTTGTTGATACTGATGAAGGAAGTAATAAAAACATTTCGTATATATCCAGGTACAAACTTTTTGAATTTGTATACAAAAAAATTTGGCTTCTAATGCATAATTGGTCTTACTTTTGTTTGGTAAAACTATCTAATATTGCTATTCTTCAGTTCACACTGAATTTTTCACAATATTTTTAAAAAATATGCTGCTATACTGCTAAAATTTTGCATACTACATTGTGCCATCTTTTAACAATAATTTAAATAATATTACGTACATATCACGAGTCACACGTAGATATAAATTGATTCTTCGACGAGTTGTGTCTACGAAATAAACTGCAAGTCTCTTTATCAACGTAGTTACTCTACAAAGGATCACTCTTCCGTTGCTATAAACGATAACAAGATGAATAATTGTTCGGTATCTTCATATCAGATGACAGGATTTGTAGTACATCACAATAATGTAATCGGAGATCATTATGTAATTGTGGTCGACCCGGAATGCAAGTCAGCTGTATCCATTAAACGAAAAAACTTTTTTGTGGTTGAAGAAAATAAAGTTGTGGTATGGTTGTAAAAAAGTGAGTTAAATTTTATAGATTCCTGTATGGGGACAGTATGCACGTGAAAATTATTGTATACGGCATTATAACGTAAAGAATAGTTCTGACGGAGCCACACATATATGTTGTCACTATTTCTACATTGTATGAGGAATGTATCTATGCTGCAAAAATCTTTATGATGTCCCAGTCTGAATTGGGGTCCGAGTAATATAGATCTTTCCTCACACGTGTAATCAGTGTCATTTTTGAGACATTTCGTACTGCCTGTCTCATATTTCATGCATCTAAGAACTATATCGTCTGTCGCATCTTTATTTATGACATCTACAAAGCACAAAAATATATTAATTCTATTCACTCGCTCACGCGTATTATATAGTGATTAAAATATTATAGCGATTTAAATATTACTCACCAAGGAAACATGCACTCTCATCTAATCCCATTAATATTATTTCTTGAGATAATGATTTGTCACACAATAACTTAAAATGTGTCCAGGTATCATCCTTGCTATAATATATAAGTACATGAAGTTGGGTCATATATATAATTAATTTGTCATCATCAACACAATATTCAGGGATTCCAGAAAAGCTTGCAGGTATCTGTGAACCCTTAGTCCAAATGCCTGTGGTATATGAAATGAAGAAATATGTACTTAATGCTGCTGCGTCACTTGATAAGATCCAAAAACTCAATTAATATATAGTAAACATATATTAAGGGAGCTTAGACGCACTGTGTGGTATATTTAATAATGCAATAAGGTACGTATTTAATAATTAATTCAATATTAATTTAATAATGTAATATATTTAATAATTTAATAATGTAATAATACCCACGCGAATGTATATCGTAAATATTGACGCTTTTTAATTGTGTGCGATATTCTCCTACACCGCCTATAAGGTATAGTTTATTTTTGAAAAGTACTGTAATCATATTCCTCCTCGGACGTGGCATACTGAAAGATTTATTTATTACTTTTATAAGCACACTACTGTATTACAATTACTTTCAGCTTAACAGCTGCTTGTCAGGATACTTACCGTGTCTCAAAAATCCATTTCTTAGATATTAAAGAATAATGCCAAATCTTCTCGTTGAATTTTCCTCTCCCTACACCGTATTCGCCACCACACATGTACAAATCATATCCTGAATGATCGCTAAATAAGTCTGATGACCTAGACAGTTTCCGAGTTAAAAAAAAATAAATAAATAAATAAATTACATACTTCTGCCAGTAAATTGCATTCCTATTAATGGATGTCGTGCATTAGTAATTTCTTTAGGATACGTTAATGTGGAATATTTGAAGAAATTTCTACCGTCCCAACAATAAAGGAAAATTTTACTATTATAATTTTGAGGCTTCTCATAATCTATAATGCAATTTAAGACTTTCGGTTTTTTATCTTTTATCAAAATTGGTATTTTAGTTGGCAATTCTTCAATCTGCAAATGAAATATTTGAATATATTACATGTAAACTGCCATAAGCTATTGTGTGATTTACTTTCGAAAACAAAGAATGGGATTTTATCATGTACTGATTCAAAGATATATTATTATATATGGAAATAATACTTACTTTATTAGCCTTCACCCACATAAACAATATATTCCACATATTTTCCTCTGTAGATGATATATTTTCATTGTTAAGCAATTTTTGCAAATTCTGACTTTCTAGATGAAGGAGCTTATCAATTGGCAACTTATCGAAATAATCTAAGCACGCGGCAAAAAAAATATCCTGCAGTGTCGAAAGGCCCAAGTCCCTTGCTACGAGCCAAATGTCAATTAAAAGCTCTGGTATTACCAGAATAGCTTCCATTATATTTGTTATCTCATCTGTTAGCAGATCCGTTAAAAACAAAACACTTAAATCTAGCAACTTCACAAGATCTTCGTAAGAGTTAGGATTACAATGTTTTTCCAAGGATGTTTTGCATACAAAGTCAAACTTCATGCAAAAGTCTTCGTCGTGAATCCAATTGATGTAATCCTACAAAAAGATCAGAATTACTTTTTACATATTTTAATTATATAATTAGTTTATGTTACTAATATTAGGTACAATCTTCTAAAATATCTGTTTCATTAAGAAAAGTAAAAATGAATTTTGTACCGAATGAACATCGAATATGACAGATGGAAGGTATTATTGTAGAAACAACATAAACAATACAACACTAACCTGTAATGTAGAGATTGAAATATCATAATTGATTACATGTTCCTGTTGGAGGTGATCAATGTAGCTTTCAGAGAGAAGCATGGCAAAATATTGACTCTTACTAATTAGCTGTTTCCTGTTAACTAACAATCGCGAGTCCTTTAATATTAATGCCACACAAGGATCCCTGTTTTGATCTTCCATTTTAATATTGTTTTTGATTCTTCTACTACCACAGTTTCTCCGCAAAATTTACTCTTAAATTTGACTAACAAAAAAAAACATATATATATATATACACGGAGAAATATGCAAGATGAAAATTAAATCATTTTTCTCTCTTTTCGTTAAATACACTTTTCCAGATGAAGCAGTTTTTATGTTGTCACAAAAACTGACAATAACAATGTTGTATCTTGATCTAGAGTCTACTGGCAGAGATTTTCACTGTGAAAAAGTGAGTCATCTCTGTGATTTTGCTTTGATTTTTCTTCAGAATTATCGCATATGATTTAAGAGCTCCGGCGTTTTTTATTTACTCTTGCAGTTTTCGTTGCGGATAGCCACTGAAAGCCCCTCATCCATACGTCGCTCTTGCAGTTGCAAATTTTCTCTAAAATTTTTTCTTTACTCCATCTTAATGTCAAAGTAAGTCGTCGCCTGCAAAACTGACCGCACTGTTAACGTTTTTTCCCACCGGTAAATTCTACATTATACGAGTCCTCAAACACTCGGTTTCTGTTCGACAACGGAATCTCTCGCGCAAGCGCATTGACGGGAGCGTAGTGCGCTAGTGCGCGCATACCTGAAAAATCCTACCGTCACTGCCTAACAACAGCAGCCTTAAGGCACTCATCGTTTGCCAAATGCCACCCACAGGTCTGTTCTTTTTAGCTAAAACAATTCTTTGACTTAGATTTTTCCTTTTTCTCTAACTGCACTGAACGGTAAGAAAAACACTGAGTTCTGCCAATGCAAATGAACAAAGACGAATATAAAGAATGTGCCAATGGCCAAAATATGGCACATTACGTTTTATATCTTTATAATTTATGGTGCTTCCCACATTTAAAAATTATTAGAGTTCTGACGAAAAAAAAGAAAATATGTATGTACGTGCGTGCATTTATTTATTATAAAAAGATAATTCGTCGAATAAATATTTAAAAGAAGAAAACGAAAAATAGAACACTTCAGTTGACTATTGCAGATTTTTTGAACCACTGCTGATAATTGAGCTGAAAACCTCTTTAGAGCGAGACACGTGTATAACCGAGTGTTGAAACAGAATGAAGTTGTAATATAGCATTGTGCAGCTAAAAAGAACAGGCCTCGCTTATCTAAATGAAATTGATCGCGTCCGTTCAAGGTTCATTTTGAATTTTAAGAAAACAGCTAATAATATCACAAAGGCTTCGCTATTTATTTTCAATTCACTTTGTTCACAGAGTGTCTATAAAGTACGATCCCTCCCACCATGTTTGGTTAAGAGTTTTAAGTATCGCCTCGTACAGTGTGTGTAAAAATAACTTACATTGATTCAAGCAGTACCTCTCGGTGTTGAGCGAAACGATTTGTAAAAACGCGCACGCATTTAATTCTTTATAAAACGCGCACAGTAACAATAATAACAATAACAATAATAATGAGATAATGAAAATGATGAAGATGATAATGACGATAATGAAACGCTTGAGAAATCTAAAAATTATCACGGAACTTATTTTACTGTTTTACAAATCATAAGACAGATAGTCACGAGAGATAAGTACTGCATTATATGATACGAATGATATCATTGCACGATTATTACGCGCGATATCGTACATAATACACTCTGAAATATGCGTAAAATTCAAAGCTGCGGTGGTATTCTCTGTATTCTGTTGGACGATATTTCACGTTGATTTCGATAACCACATCTTAAGTCACACTCATCGTTTGCGATAATTACAGTAGCAGATCGATGTGACATCACTCAAAATATATAACTTTGGAAAATAGGAGACTACGATATCCCACCAACATGCCACTATGATTATTCTTAAATGCGAGTTTCTTCTTCTCGACAATAGAAATATCGTTAACGCGACACGGAAGGCCACTGCAGTTTGCGACACCGGAAATCATGATATATGTACAGCGGAGACCACGAATTTGCGGAATTACAATCTCTACATAATATCATTTGTTGTACAACAATTAACGGCATTTAATTACTTCTCGCTCGCTCTTCTATTATTTACACAGTGTCTTCTAGGTTCTTTTGTACCCTTTGCCACTTTGCCACCATGGTCGACACCTCCTTATGCTTCTTGCTGATGCTGATTCTCGACTAGAATCACACGGCACCCAAACTTTCATTAACTTAAGTTCATGTATCGATACCACTTGGATACTATATACATTATCCATATTATTGGGCGTACTTTGATTTTCTAACAGATTAGGAGGAGAAGAAAAACTACTAATTTTATATTTACTTGACTAGAATAATTTCGACGTCGGATCACTTGTTTTACCCATAATTTTTGTAAAAAATATTAATAATTTTCACACAAAAATGTATTTTTCTGTTAGTAAGCAAGGAATGTTTCGAGTCACAAGTAAATAAAAATAAAACTTGATTTCAATTGACACACACAATCAGAATACGTCTGTTATTATTAATAATGCAACGAGCGCGGGTTCCATACTTGTTCATTGTAACAGCCACGTGAAATAATGTCATAAAAAAATATCTTTTATGATAGAATTTTATTAGAATAATGGTCCCTCAACATAATTCGATCGATAGATGAGCCGTATTATAAAGCCGGTCCTCGGAAGTCAATGAAATGTAAAAAAAAAAAATGTGCGTCTAATAATATGGCCAGGCACTGTACATGTCTCAAGAAATCTCCAAGAAGTATCTAGTAATGTATTTCATAAAGCCAAAAGCATAAAGAAATTGACGAACAGAATCGAGAGGAATGCTAAGTTTAATTTCTAATTAGAAATTAATTTTCTTAATCTCAATTTCTAAACAGTTAAAATACATCCAATTTGTCGATATATATACATATAAATACTTTTCTCTTCATGCTTTCAGAAGGAAGATTGATATCAAAAGATAGTTTTCATTTGGAAGGAATAGTTTTGCAGCGGTGAACGCAGCATTCATTACCTTCCTCTTCTTCTTTTCCTTCATTGTTGTATCGCAAGGCACGGATTCCGGTTCCGTTTCTGGCAGTTTTACTTCTTCCAGTACGGGCGCTTGCTCCATCGTTGCAGTATCCTGATGCTGCGTTGCCCGTTCCGTTTCCGTTCTCTCGATACGCGCGATGTCATTGTAAAAGGAGTCAAGAGCGGATCCTAGAGATTCCTTCGCGGCCTTAACTGGCGGCTTGGCGATGATTTTGTTGTTCGAGTAGATCGGCGCGTATCCCAGCATGAATTGAATTGTACCCTGTCCACCGTGCTTGTTCGCGATTGTATGCTAACACACGAGGAGAGTTACATTAATTGTATTTCTGTATACAAACTTTTCTTAGCTGCACAGATATATTATGTTGAAAATTGAAGGGTGACCTCCCTCGATATTTCCGTTAAGGAAAAATTGTTCAAATTGCTCGGAGAATCTTTCGATAAAATGAAGATCGCAAGTTTTGTAGGTCACCTTGTGTGTAGATAAAATTGTTGATATTAAAATTAAAAATATATATGTGTAATATATATGTAAATATAATGGCATCGGCTGAACAATATTTAGTCACAGAAAGATCCTTACATTATGCAGATGCTGATGGAAGGTTGGGTAGTGAACAAACGGCTCTTGCAGCAAGCTCGGCTGATGACTCAGGATAGGTATCGTCGGGTCCGCTATCGAAGGCGCGTAAATCGCGTTACTTTGCTGGGACGTCGCGTTGTAGATGATTCCTTTTAAAGTCGCCGCTTCGTAAGAGGTGTCTGGCAAGTCTACGCCCGGTGGCAGAGGCTCCATGTTCGCGTGATTCGCAGGTATCGAAGTCTGCGGTGACACAGCCGCTTGCGAGTAGGACAAGGCGGATTCCAAGGCGGGATTCACCGCCTGAGTCGTATCCAAAGCCGTTATCCTTTCTGCAAGCAGAATACCCAATTATCACTATATGTGGTTCATTAACAATAATATTCGCGATTTAACAACGCGTGGAGAATAATTCACATTAAATGTTTATAAATTTCGTCACGTGTTACTGATAACTCCTTACCTTTTCGCTTCCTCTTCATGTCCAAAGCTCTGTCGTCGAATTTCTCTCTTTTCCTCTTGCCCTTCTTCGGGTCTTCTTCAAACGTCCTCGACGGCGGCGACGGATCGGACGTCTGTGACGGGGTGGTCTCCGAATCCACGGGGCGTCCTTCCGCTATGTTCTCGTCGCTCTTATTATCGTCCATCTCTTCGGCTTGCTTCTCCTTCGGCTTCTTCGCTCCGGGAGATCCTAACGTGAGAAACGATCAATGCTTTCCACCGATAATGACACCTTGGCAGTTTCCACGCACCTGTGACTGATAACTCGTCCGATTCTGGTGGCGGAGGAGTCGTGCATAATTCCATCTCCTCAGTACCACCGGCAATACCGGTGTCGGGATAAGTCCACTGTGACGTTCCAGTGGATGTATTGTGATAGTAATACCGCTTATGCGACCTAGAAAAATCCCCCGCCAAAAGGCAGCACATGAGACCACTGGGGCGATGTTTTCGCAAATAAATTCTCTATGTTACATCCATTATACACGCTTAAGTAATGTTCCCGTGACGGAACATTCGTTCACGCGATATCGTCCGTCACCAGATTTCTTAGACAGTATAGAAAATTATAAAACATAATCTAGTATAACACTCCTACCTGCGATGCCGTGCTCTCGCTTTGCCCGACGTAGGCCTTTCAGGGAGTTGGGAGATAATTGTGTAATTATGAGAGTGCTTTCCTCTCGCGGGGCAAACGTTAATGCGGTATTACAGCGAAGAGAAATGAAGGAGAAGTGGGAAATCGTGACTGAATGCGAGGACAGTAATGATGAGAAAATTCGGTCCCGATATAATATCTGGTTTATTTATGTCTGCGTGGTCCCAGAAATCACCAGATATCAATAAAATATAATAAAGACTGGGTAGTACTTACATCGTCGAACGGACTAACGAACGAGTAATGTCAGAGAAATTTCTCGTGCGCTTTTTCCGATGTGCGAAGAATAATTTGATATATCTCGTTACTTTGCGTTTATTAGAAAAAGTAAGCACACAATGCAATGTATATCTAACGATGGCACTTTTGAAACTTACAATATTTCTCTGTTACTCGATAAATAGTATCGAGAATTCATATCTTTATATGTGTGCGATATGTAATATAAATAAGATTATCTCAAAATTAATGAGTTCGTTTGTGATATTGCCAACAATTATATCATTATCAACATTGTAATAACAATAAAACACTTGAAGCAGTTCTTCGAAATTCTTTGGTTACATACATTTCATATGTTATTACGTTTAAAACGCGAATGACTAATTAAATGTTGACGCGATCGGAGAATATTAAAGTATACTGTCACTTCTCTCTTGTGGTATCTTCTCATCTTCGTTTCAGAGATTTTACTTCAGCATAGCACTTGAACCGTACATGGGCACAAACAAATTCTTAATCCGAGTAACTCGTGCTCGTTACTCGATTGTTGCAGCAATGTTTACATTAGATAACAGATTGTAATATATCACTCGACACGTGTAATTCATCACATTGATAAAATCACAAGATCAATGACCGCTTAGACTCTACATAGGGAAGAAACGACCACTCGATTTAACACTGAGAAGATAAATCACTCTTTACAAGAGACTGCATTTCTTACGGGGGACTGCACCGTCACTTAGGCTAAACTGCTCCGTATGAAACAATAAAAATATATCAGCCGCATCATCGCTCTAGACTTGAGAAAAAAAAAACGTACCTGCGTACATTAAAATTCATGTATAATGCGACAATTGACTATTTGTCATAAATAAATTACTGAGTTAGTAATCACTGAATTACTTCAGTTTCAGTGATTTTTAAGAAGAGTACGAATCGTACAGAAACAACAAATTTTAAAATATCACGTACTTGAGAGTGTACACAGACATACACAATGATGCTTTGAAATGTCAAAAATTCGCTCGAAGGTGCTCTACAAATTACTACAAATATTAAAATGCTTGAGATATTTTTGAAAGTAGTGTACCTACGCTTTAGAGAGAGAGAGAGAGAGAGAGAGAGAGAGAGAGAGAGAGAGAGAGAGAAAGAGAGAGAGAAAAATCCGTTAATTACCTAATTTGTACTTTATATAGATTCTCACTCTACATATGATGCAAATTTTTCTGATGATGGATGAAATTATGTAGTAGTACATGACAATCGCATGTATGAGCACTTGTATAAAAACAAATATATAAATATATATACTTCTATAAATTAATGATACATATAAAGCCATTGAACATATATGTTATATGTGATACCTATATTTACATAGAAAAGTAATAATGCAAACTGCAAATGGAATACCATACCTATCCCACTGGCATAGCCAACCAGCTGGTGCTGCATCTTGCTCTAACCTTTCCAATTCATGATTTGTATCAGTCAGCCATTTTTGAAAGTAATTTTCTTCTAAACTACCTGTTGCCCATGCAGTAGATAATGTCTGTAAAATATAGCGGTAAAGAACGAGCAATTCATTCATTTCATTTATGTTAATATAATTCAGCATATCAAACATTTCATAATTCTACTATATATATATATATATATTTAGTAGAATATATATATACTATTTTATATATATTTTATATATATTTTATATATTATATATATATATATATATATATATTTATTTATTTATTTATTTATTTATTTATTTATTTATTTATAGTAATATATAAAATGTCACAGTATATCAATGTGACAAATCAATAAATATATATTTATATAAAATATATGTATAATACCACATATAGCACAAAAACGTTAACATTATTACAATGTTACTGCAAGCTTCTGTGTTATATCTCTTTCTCTCTCTCTCTTGTCTATGATTAATAAATATCACCTCACCTGTAACTGAATTTGCATTGTTTGAACAGCAGAAACGCTCCCCCTTCCTTCGGAAAGGAACTTCAATTTCTCCATTATAATCTGCGATAAGTCATTCATCTCCTCGTTGGTTCGTTCTTCGGCCGGATTGGCCGCCGTTTTGTGTTCCGCAGGTACTTCCGTGTCGCACGATTCTTCCCTGGAACCGAGCTTTTCTTCAGGTTTAGCACTAATGCACTGCTCTGTCTCTTCGTATGCCTCCTCACACTCCTTTGGGCCCTCTGTACACAACTGATTACGCATTTCCGCATCACCGTCGTCGATATTGCGCAAAGTAGCTGCGCTACTTGTGAGATCGCTGTTATCGTCTTGAACCGCGTTGTCATGATAAACGTTATTTTGTTTAATCTTGTTGGATGTAACTGAAATTTTAAAAATTATTATCCACAAGTCACAAAGATACCTACGCAACATTCGAATTTGCTGATAAGAACGATTTAAGATGTTATTGTCGGTAAGAATGATTTAAAATAAATGATTATTCTAGCGAGTGAAAAATAGGCGGGAACAATCGATATACCGTCAAACGCTATTCGCTTCTTCCGTTGAAAAGCCTTCCCGCACACTTGCATGTCCTCAAGAAATATGTTAGTCTTAGACTTGTCTTCATCCGCCTTCGACTCCTTCTCCTCCGTTTTCTCATGATCGCCCTTCGTTTCTCGAGTATCTTCATTACCGTCGTTACTCTGATCGAAACTCTGCACGTTGCACGAACTTTTCGCGAAGGCTTCGTGAGTATCCTTCGACGTGCTAGTCGCATAGTCCTCGTCCTGAGCGATCGGAAACAAAGGTTTCATCTCTTGCTTGGGTCTCACTTCCTCCTCTACGTCCGAATCGTCTCCGTAACCGGGCACTAAAGACACGTTGACATCCAATTTCGAAGCTGCGTTATGCTTGGTAACGTCCTTTCTACTTTTCTTCTCCGTGAAAAATTCCTTCTCTCCTTGAAGCGAGCCATTATTACCATCGATTAGCCTGCTCTCGTCAGACTGTTCGGGTTGATTCGTAGAACCTGATATGTTAACTGTCGAGTCAGGCTTGTAAGAACGAGACAAATTTCGGGCGGACGCTTGCATTACTGCGGGACAAAACGCAGGTCCTATCTCGCTGCTCTTTAGGTACAGCGCAGAATTTCCTAATTCGGACGGCAGTATCGTCGTCTTCTTCTCGTCCGAGGAATTATCCTCCGAGTCGCTTCCGTCACTGCCAAATGACGTTATCATCTCTATCCGCCTGCAAAGTAATAAATTTTTTAATGATGGAACGATCCTGTAATGCCTTATCTCAATATCTGCCATACCCGTCGTCAGAATCGTCGTCCTTCGTAGGGGATTCGTTTTTTGTTTCTACCTTGCTTTCCAAGAAGCATTTCTTTGCTGTCTCCTTATGAATCAATCTGTTACGATTCCTCGCCACCACCTCCTGCGGTATCATACCCTCTGGTATATTTGCTTGCGACTGTCGATCTGCAACGATCATCAATATATCTCCAGCGATATCTCGGTGTATTACAAAAGAAAAATTCGCAATTAAGAAAATGGTAATTTACATGTGATAGATGAAAAGTCCACCCAATGTGGACCCTGAACCGAAGGTTTTATCACAGACTCCATCTCGGATTGTTTCCTTATCAAGCGTAGCTCCTCCGGCATGTCCCATGTTACCTCGTTAGTTTCGATGTGCCAGTAGTAAGGATAACCGCTGGTTTTGTCATAACATTCTTGCCATACTAGAATCATCACATAAATATTCTATAGCAATGTTCATAATTTTATCTTACCAAACTTATTTACTGAAAATCTTTCTCACATGTTTGTTGACCCGTATGATGTGTAGATTGTGAATTTATCCTGGCTGTTAACTTTGGATCTTTGGCAATATTACAGGCGGGCTGTTCGGGAGCGATAAGTTGAATTTCCTGTAAGATGAAATTACATTTCTATATACAGAATAAATGTCGCTATTTATCCGATAAGCAAAATGTTAGCAGTATGCCAACGGATTGGTAGCGTCAGAATTCTATAGCAGATCTATCTTACATATGTATATAATTATCTAATTAAGCTTGTGTTGACAGAATTTAGTGACATGAAGATGCAGCAGAAACTAATCAAGATGTATAAGGTATATTCTATTTAAATATATTTAAACAAAATGACGGAACCTATTTAGTTTCTGTCATCAATCTGCCATTATATTCTGCTAACAGTTTCTATCGTATTTTTGTTAGCTAGTTGCTAAAAAATTTCTAGCAAGTACTATGAAAAATTTGTTTCAGGTTTGATTATCTGGATAACTCACTTTCAAGAAATCATTGACTTGGTCATCCAATTTGTGCACATCCTTTTTGGGATCCTCTGTATCACTGTCAGAATTGTACTGACATAACAGGTTGGCTAATGGATTCTCAGCTTCACTTTGTACAGGCTGTGCACTGTTCACTGGCTTATATCTACCTATAATAAATATTATTTACAACAAATATGTGTAAATATCAGTACAAATTATATGACACACATTTTGTTCTATATTAATTTGTAAATTTATTTGCGACTTAAAATTAAGACACCATCAACTGTACCAATCGTAGTTATCATTTAAATTGAAATTAAAATGATTATACAGATATATTTACTTTGCACGTGTTCGACATGATAAGTACTTTGCGGTTTATCGATCGTCAAAACCGGCCTTCTCTGGCGTCTCTTCATAATAAAAAAATACGAGCAACCGCTAGATGTAAAGAAGAGTTCTGAAAGCAATTCACAGCGCGGAACGCGCTCTTTGAGCTCAACTTTCGCTCAGTGCGTTTCGATCTGCTAAACGCATATATTACAGCACACATACATACGTCATTTACGTGCATTAATTAGCAACAATGTAATTTCCGTATTGCGGGAAAACAGCTATCACAAAAGACTCGTAGGTTCACAACCTAACCTAAAATATCCCGTCCATCTTGAACAAGTGTAACCAGTGCAGGAACAATCGGCACCCGCAACATTTAAAGTCCGTGAATACAGTTTACTTGTAACTCAAACAATTGGTCATATTAAACATCAATAAAGATACGAGTATAATGAAAATAAATAAATATATGTGTGTGAAGTTAGATTATTTCTCCTAATCGCGAAAAATAAGTAGAATTCAGCAAGCTGTAACTTCTGCAAAAATAATAGTGACAAGTAATAGATATTTTAAGTAGCATTCTACAGCTTTAAAATCTTTAATTCCCATATATATTTTCGAATATGAAGTTTACTTCCTTCTCGTGAATTTCATCTATTTTCATAGTGTAGCATGTATAGCTACTGGCATATAAGTCGGGACAATTATCAAATACCAACATTTTTTCATGAAGTTTCTCAAGTTGAATCTCGTAAACGAAAAATAACAGACATCAATGTTTATATAGTTAAAAAAAATGTGAATCTTTCACATTAATTTACACATTCACTGATCATGACGCAATTTCCCTCACTCGTAGCGATCAACCGCACTCGGGCCACAATGATAGATTTCGGACCAAGTTGTTGCTCAGATATAAAAATTACTAGGAATAAAAAATTACTAGAAAAATTATTAGATATAAAAATTATTGAAAATAAAAAATTACTGGATATTTACTAACATTCTAGCATCTTTCAAGCGTGTACTAAAATAAATAAATAAAAGCTAAGGCCCTTATTCTGGATAGTTCCCTTTTATCGATAAAAGTGCCTCTAAAAGTGGCTTAAAATCCTAATTGATTGAGAAGCTAATTTAAAGCATTTATTTCAATAAAAGAGTTCAAAATATGAACCAAGTAGTAGAAGGACCATAGTATTCAAATACAATGGGTGCGTTCAGCAAAACGTTTAGTTTACAACTGTTGGAAATTTCTTGTGCTGACATTGGATTATTCCTGTAGATCTGTAAAAGAATAATCCAATCTCAGCTCATGAAATTTCCAACAGTTGCAAATGAAACGTTCTGTTGAACGTGGCCGATGACATTACATAAGCACTTTAACGATAAAATAATTAATGTATATTCTGCAAAATAATATGACTATATCATTATTAGATGTTTAATTGTTCAAAATGCTTACATGTTTTTTTTATTTAAATAATAACTATGTATAGCCACTGAAATATAAGAAACACTGCTACTAGTGCGTTAACGCTCGCAAGATGACGAGCTCAGGCCGGATCTACAATGTCCAATCGGTTAATTTGACGGATTAACCTATATGATTGGACATTCCGAACACGGCTCGGATGCTCGCGATCACAGACTCCTATGAGCAGGTTCCACTTAACGCTCGCGACAATCGCGAGCATCATTCTGTCTTTGTTTAACTTCAAAAAGAAACAAAGATAGAATGATTCTAGCGATCGTTGCGAGTTTTAAGTGGAACGCACCTTAAATAAAGGTCTTCAGCCATGGATAATCCGTAGTTGGTAAATTTGCTTGATGCTTCAAACAAGATAGTGGACAAGGGGTTAAAAATCTGCTTCAGGCCAAACTTATCGTCACTTCTATCATCTTTTGGAATATATAAATCTAAAGAAATATGCCAATTTGTTACTGCTTCTTTACTGCTTAAAGGCTTATGCACAATGATTATATATATATACTCGTCAGCGACTCGCACAGACCGGCAAGACTTTGCATGAATATATATTTCGACCCAATGAAAAATGTACATCGAATCAACATCAAATTGACGTTAAATCGAAACAATCAAAATTATATATGGAATCGACGTCGGTTTGACATCGATTCGATGATTCATTTTTCGCTAAGGAATACTAAACTACCATTCAAATATTAGACACGTTAGATCATATAAATGATCAGTAACTAAAAAAATGACCAACCCCAAGTAGCACAGTGACGTCAGAGGGCGTCATATGTATTGACGGCAATATGCCGCCTGGAAGGTGTTTGCTCTATAGTAATATATCTTACGATATTTCTTGAGCTTCTTCGGATATCCTTTGAACGCCGTAGGATATCATGTAGGCCGACACTTGTGCTGGATATCCAACGGATATCTGAGATCATCTTAAAAAATCCTACTGCGATATCTCATGTCTATAGGATGTTATCCTTCAAGTAAAGCGTGTGAGTAGACATTAATTGCGAGCGGTTATCGCTGTGACCTATTAATTTAAAATTACTGTGGTCTAGTGCAGAATTAGTTAATAGATATAGTTTCGACAATCTGCAGACATTGAAAGGAACCCACCGAAAATCGACGAGCTCCGCAATCTCCGCAGTTGAAAACCACAATCGGAAAAGAGATGAGATTTCATAATCTACCATATCAACAAAAAGTATTGTGCAGATAGCCACGGTCAGCTGGATCATTTCAGACATAAACTCGGACTGATAAAATCACATGAGTGCACCATTTTGCTGCACACCTGTGCACACGTCGCTCAATCATATCGCGAATAAACAATAAATCATCTTCAACAGCGTTATCGTTTTACCGAACATAGTAGCTCCCATTTTCCGCGACGTTCAATCACGACTGACGTTGATCGCCGCGTCGTCACATTATCGGACAAAATTACGATAGATTAACAGAAACTGCTGATAAGCCGGCACGGAAGCAAACACTCCGTTAACAGCATTCCGTAAGACCGCGCGACGCCATATATACGGCGCGCTTATTCCCGAAAATCGCATAACCCGACACGATCGCACGCAACTGACGAAGAATCGCGTTTCGAGTTTTGAGCAATCGGAGATGTTGCCGCCGACGGTTCTCCTCTTGGCGATCCTGGCGTTCGCGCGAGCGACGCCGGATCCTACGTATCAGATCTTGCCAGATGCGGATTTAGCGAGACTACGACCCAGGGCAGATTTGCCGGAAGACGCGAAGCTCAACGCTGTGAGTTCGAACGACAGCTTTGCCGAATTTTTCTCCCTGTCGCTTGCGCACAGTTGATTAATTGTTTAATTCTTGCTGGCGAACGTTAAAATACCAGTTACAACGAAGTAAATTTCTATAAATGAATTAATTGTTGAAATGATTAGTAGAAAAACAAAAGAATATTTCTTGCATGAGGCCCTCTCTCTCTCTCTCTAAAAGTTGAAAAAGTTGGTAGAAATCGAAATAAGTACGCGGCCTGTAAGAACAGCCGCTTTGTTTGGTATAAATTAATTTATATAAATAAGTTATACGATTAATTTAAATTAATAAGTAAAACGTAGAGAGAGAGAGAGAGAGAGAGGGAAAATTTAAATCCATGCCGCCCGAGAAAAAATTTTCTACATATAATAAGCTCTATAATTGTATATAATTATATATTATTATATTTAATCATATATGTTTATATATAGATATATACATATATTTTTTTTTTATAGACATATCCCACGGCATTATCACAGGAATATCATATTTCTATTGCAATATTACAATGTAACATTATAATATAAAATATTGCTACAATATTACTGAGATATCACAGTAAAATTTCAAAACGAATCACAATGATATTACAGTGACATTTTACAATTATATTCCCTTACAAAAAAGTATTACTAGTTGTGATAAATGTTAAATTATCGTTTCTTAGTAGTTTTTATTATTTATACGAGAGAAAAGAAATCATTTTACACGTTCGCGTCGTGGTTTCTATTCTGACCGGAAGTCAGTCACCCGTCCAACTACTAACCTTGCTCGCCCGACTTCGACAATTCGACGGCAACCACTGACTCTACTGACTCTGACGATATCCTTGTAACTTATATAAAGTATTCCTGTTGTGCTCACAAACATGTAATAACATATTTACTGACAGATATTAAAAACAATGCATAAACAGTTGACGGATGTGAATATAATGTATACTAGCGAACTATTTTCATCCTTTTTAAAATGAAATGTCGCTATATTGAACTAAAGAGAAAAAAGAGAATGACTCAACAAATATAATAACAAATTACCACATAAAAACCAACAAGCCACATCGAGTGATTAAAATATTTTTTAGAATTTCGTATGTCTAAAAACATTTAGAACATTTTTTATCAAGTAATATTTAAATATATATTCAATATCTCTATTTGAATTTCAGAAGATAATTTGTTCAATATAATATCTCTATTATATTTCATCATTGCGCGCGCACAGATGCAACTAATTGAGAAATACCATTACAACCCTGAGCTGCACAGAGTGATTACATCCGACGGTTACATTTTGGAAATGCATCGGGTAAGAGGGCAAACGGCGACGTTAAACAATATGCAAAAACCTGTTGTGTTTATGATGCACGGTCTTCTGGCGAGCTCGGCATCGTGGGTGCTATCCGGACCGAAGAAAAGTTTAGGTAAAGAAAAATACTCTGAATATAGCATCCGAACGTTTTAACGCTCAATCAATTATCGATATTTTTCCTTACTTTTCACGGATAGACATTCAGTAAGCAAGAAATCATTAATATAACGTTATTACAATGATATTTTACAAACGTTTCCACATATGTAGTTCTCAATATTGTATACAACGTAATTGTTAACAATATTTAACTCAAGCATTAAAAATAATATTTCTACATTTTAATATTTAAGAATATTATCAAGTAACACTTAAAAAATATTTATATAATATTAATATGTTTATAAAATCCATATAAAATCAATGTTCCTAAAGATTGATTTAATGTTCTTTCTTGCGGACTAAACGGTCTCTCACCAAGAATATCGTTTTACACCTGAATAAAACATTAATCTATCTTAATTGGTCGGTTATCGCTGAAATGATCCGTGAGTATCATTATTCGCAGAGTAAGAGTTATTAAGCCGTCAATTAAATTAATTGAGTCGCGCGAACACCATCGATGCGTTTATATCTTTTTTCTCATTTCAGTTGACTGAATCATCTTTGAACTATTACAAAACTTAGCATTCGAAAGAGCTACATTCTTTTAAAACTATTGAAACTGACAATGTTGGGGCGCGTGCATCAGGGTCTTGTCTTCACTTTGTCTCGAGACATCTTATATTTTTATATTGTACGATATTTACAGGATTCATCTTATCGGACGCGGGATATGATGTATGGCTCGGTAATGCGCGTGGCACTTTATATTCCCTTAATCACACGAATCCGTCGATTGCAAGGAAGGATTACTGGAATTTCAGGTGAGAGTTTTGACATTTTTAATATATATATATATATATATATATATTTTTTTTTTTTTTAACATATGTTATCAGTAAACATCAACTAACAGTAACAATATAAACTTGTCACACATATATATATATTACTCGAATTAATATTGTAAGATACTACAACGTAAGATGTAAAAAATCCGAATATACGTAGCGCGCGTGCCAATCCGAGATTTATTCCGATCAATATTTGCAATCTTATCTTCGAGCACTCTTCAATCTTATTACCGTCCAATGGAAGGAACAGATTAAAGCATCAGCTGACATTTATTATTTATTTTCTCAAACGCGAATCCTCGCGTACGAATAATCATATCTCAACACGCGATAACACTGCGATAACAAAAGACCAAACGTGACAAGTGTTTGCTCCCAATACATCAAAAATTGATGTTAGTGGACACAATCCTCACGATAATAATATTTATGATAATAACTGTAGCGAAGTTTAAAAAATAGCCAACGTAGTTGGAAAGATCTCTCTCTCTCTCTCTCTCTCTCTCTCTCTCTCTCTCTTTCTATGACATTTGGCAATTTTTTTATTTAATTCGCATTGTCAATTCGACTCTCGCATCATGTGACTCATCTTGAGACACAGCTCACAAAATCTCTGCTCGTCGCGAATAACAAGCCCCTTAGAGCAAAAATCTCCAAGGAACATCCTAAAGACGTCCCTGGGATAAAGTGCGGAATGCAAGCTTAATCGCGTTGACAAATACATTCATGACAGGCTGATAACTTGAGTCGAATACTACTGTTTTGATTTGGAACTACTGTATCTGCAAGTAAAGATCGTTATTTTGATTGGCAATTAATGTTATCTCGTGTCACCACGATCAAGAAGAATTTAATTTTACGATTTCTATCTATTTTGGTCAAATCGATTAGAAAGGCAATCATTTAGAACACGATAACATATATAATATAGGAGTGAACATCTTCTCTCAATCATGAGACAACTTCAACAGTACAAGAGAAAAGATTATGATCTCCAACAGATAGCGTTATTCAAGTTATCGAGCATAACGAATACCGATGTTATCGGTTAAAAAATGTTGTGCAAAACATTATTGCATTAAAACCGGGATTTGTAGAATTAAGTGATAAGATGCAATAAATACCTATGCCGGAATAAAGAAATATCGGCGAAAAACAAGCGATGCGCTCCCCCCGTTTTAACGAGCACACTAGATATCGTCTGATAACATTTATTGGATTCCTTCCTTATCTTTTCCCGCTTGAACACATCTATTTTGAATATTCTCCAAACAATTGCAACATAAAAGTAAGATGTGATCCGAAAAAGATGGCGAGGAAGGGAGAGAGGGAAAGAAAGAGAATCAACGGAGAAGCTAGGGCTAAAATTAAAATTTATATTCATCATTCGTCCAACATCCATTAAAGTAGTTTCGCAATTTAATCAGAGTCACTCTTCAAAAGCAATTCGTTACCTTTCTCAACCATGAATTTTGCTCTTTTTTTTGTCAACAATACTCTGCGGAAATTCCTTCGCCGGACCTATTCGATCGATTCGCTTACACTACTTGCGGAGCGTACACAGAAAACAAATATTTGTACTGCGAAGAAAAGCAATTATACTCAGTTTACTTTTTTTTTTCTTTTAAATAATGTTTACCTTGAACAAAGAATATTTTCTTGATAATAATATTAAAATATCACAAATATTAGATAAGCTCAGTAGAAGAATTTGTTCTTTTTTCAAAAATATTATAAAACTTATCAAAGAAAAATTAAATTCGATTAATTGGAAGAAATAAACCGAAGTTTTAACATTCTTGAAAACTTGCTAGAATTCAGAATATATTTTAAATAGATTTGATACTTATGATGAAACTATACTTGCGGACATATAAACTCATGAAATATTTAAAACAATATTTGATTGAATGCATTATGTATTTTTTTCTGTGTTTATTCTCTCTCGCACTCGTTATTCGTCGAAACGGGCATAATTCACCGCGAGTCTCTCTGTACTTTTGCAGCTGGCACGAGATCGCGACGCGCGATCTCCCGGCAATGATAGATTATGTCCTGAAGACCACCGGTCGCGAGAAGCTGTTCTACTTGGGGCACAGCCAGGGCACCACCACCTTCTTCGTCATGTCAGCGCAGCTACCCGAGTACCAGGACAAAGTCCACGCGATGTTCGCAATGGCTCCGGTGGCTTACTCCTCCAGGATGTTTAGTCCGATTTTCCAGTTGCTTTCGAAGCTCATCACGCCAATCGATGTACGTAGTCCACGCAATCTCGATGATACATCGGCGATCCCAGTCTTAACGCACAATAATATAATCGTTGCAGTTGGTGACGAAATTAATCGGCCAGTACGAGTTCGCACCTACGGACGAGGCTATGCAGAAATTTCAAAAATTAGTCTGCGCGAAGGATGCCATCACGCAGCCATTGTGCTCGAACGTGCTGTTCCTGATCACCGGATTCGATTACGACCAATTCGACAAGGTGCGACATCACGATGTTATCATCGTTGTGTTTTCAGATACGTCACATTGACGCATCGCGTCCTAACACCAGTTGTCACCGCTGATCGTATTTTTTTCATCTTGTGCGAAATTGGGGAGTTATCTGCAAAACACCGTTATCGTCGCAAATGATCTTTTTCTCGGTAATGATTTGATAACGATATTTTTTTTTCGTTAGTAACGTCGACGATAACGAAAATAATTGTTGCTTTCATTGTTATTTTGCACATGTAGAATATATATGTGCGTGCATGCGGCAGAAAATCATGAGGTCTTCAAAGCTTGGTGGAAAAACGCAGAAATTATAACGACTCGTTACTTATTAACATAATAATGAGTTAGAGAGTAAAAACCTTTTGCTATCTTACGTTACTCAACGTCGGACAATATCATTGTTTATTCGTTAATTTTGCAAATCGATTCATTAATTTCTTAATCATCATTCATTAACTCATCGTGATAACTCGTTATAATACATAGCTAGTACAGAGGAAATAAGCTTGGGCACGAAAGAGCACGGAACTAATAACGCAATCAATAAACTCGAAGATATTGGAAAGCGTACAATTTATTCAATGAAAATATTCAATGCATAAATTTGAATACACTTTCCGGTGAATTTATTAATTGCACTATTAAATCCGTGCTCCTATTTATTCTATTGATCCCGACCGAATATCATTAGAGTCCTTTTTTTCGTTATAACATCGTTCGAACACATCCCAAAGTAAACATCCCATCAATGTTATCATTTCAGCAATATAAGTGCGTTGTACATAACAATTACATTGTTATGAGCAAAAAATTATAACATTGATGTAATGTTAGTTGGTATTTACGTTACGTTATTGGAATAGCGTTATAATATAAATTCACTATAACTATTCAGCATGTATAATTCGGGACATCCTGTGTCTGTCTGCTCTTGCAGGCCTTATTGCCGGTAATCTTAGGACACTTACCCGCTGGTGCATCCACGAAGCAATTTGTACACTACGCGCAACTCATCAACTCCGGTAAGCGCTCGCTCGCATCCATTTTCACGCGTTACACTTGCGCGCGCAAATATAACGAAGTATTTAAGATTGCTTAAGTCTATATTCCCCCTGCCTCTCTTGTAAGAAGCACAACGTAACGGCTGTCTCGATCTTTCATCAGGCAAGTTCCGGCAGTTTGATTACGGGTTCTTCGGTAACTTAGGCATTTACAACAGTATAACTCCGCCGAAGTACGATTTGACGAAAATCCATGTGCCGATCGCACTGCACTACAGCACCAACGATTGGCTGTCGAACGTCAGGGTTTGTATCTTTTTATACACGGCGGTCCACTCAATTCAACGCTCGAATAACATACCTTGAAAGGAAAAGGGCCGAAGTTTAAAGCAACGTTTTTTCATTGATGATAACGGAAAGTTCAGCCCAGAGGAGGAGAACGTCGAAAGACGGGGAAAAAAGATCACATATGAAATTCTCCGGGACGTAAATTATGCTTCCAAAAGAGATAAACGGAGAGCTTGTACGATATTTTGCCAAGAAGGAGAAGAGAGGGAGAAAAAGAAGGCGAGATAAATTAGAACTATGCAGTACCGTGCAAGCTTATGTATTAAACATTTTTTTTTTAAAGATCGAATATCCTGAAAAATATCCAAAACGCTCGAGTTAAATGTATCGTTCTACATTTACATCAACGTACCTATCTCAACATCATTCACATCATATCGATTATTCTTCCGCAGGACGTGCATCAATTGTACAATGAGCTGGGCAATCCTTTAGGCAAATTCCGAGTGCCGTATGAGAAATTCAATCATTTGGACTACTTGTGGGCTAAGGACGTGGACACGCTCTTGTACGACAAGATACTTAGCTTGATGTCGCGCTTCAAGGATTGAATCGCGGCGGCAGCCATAATAGATCGAGCGAGGGCTAAAATGAGACAAAAGTCAAAGAGTGACTTGCTTTCTACAAAAAGACTGATTTCTGCACACAGCGACAGTGAACGTTAATCAAACGAGGCGATTTCTGTTGCGTTTTTTCCCACATCGGAATGTATCCACGAATATATATATGTGCTGCTTACACGATTATACCAGGAGAGCACGATTGTACAGTTCAATTTTAAAGCGCAATGGAAATAACACAAGAACGCAGGTATATGAGTGCGCAATGATTTAAAATTTTCCGCGTTCATATCTGCATCCTGGTTGCGATCAGTTCATCTAAAAAAAAATCAGATTTTTCGTTAACTAAATTTCCTGTTAACCCTCGCACAATCAATTCCTCCATATCCTCAGGCATATCATTAGACAAAAAGATCGCTAATTAACACACTCTGCGTTTTCGGAAAATAAACTTCTTTTCAAAGTTACACAAATGATGCAACATCGAATGCAAATAAAGCTCTATTTGAAAAACTTAGATTCTCGGCTGATATAATATAAAGCAATGATTATAAATAATACCCGCCGAATACATTACCGACAATTCTTATTAGTCCAGTTCCTAATTATCAGGTTTAATAATCTATCAGTGATAGACTTAAGACGTTGAGGATACTTAATATTTTCTAAAGCGAATTATCTGTAGAACACTCATGTCAGCTCATGCACAGCTCTTGCAAATTGATATACATGTAACTGTGTTAATGATCGAATAATGCAGCGATAGAAAGGTCAAAAAAACACGCGAATATAAATATGTCGCATACATTGTAATTAACCGCAATATGTAATAAATGAAACGAAGAAATCGAAGAGTGATTAGTGACGATAAGAAAGCAACACCTGTTAGAAAGTCCGAAGTAGGAAGCGCAAGTATCGGTTTCCGCATATGTGCTCACGCGACTTTTCTCATATACGTACGTTCACGGATATGTGCGCACGACACAGCGAGAACATATAGATATTTATAGTTTCCATACGGGAAACGAGTCTAACAAAGTTACACAAATGAGGCAAAACACAACAGGTAATTACCTGGTTAGCTACTCCGTATATTGCAAGTCACAAGGTTGAATTTTATCGAGAACGCATTATTGATGTTCTCCTCGAAATATCGTGCGTACGAGTGTGTATGAGGATGAATGTATATGTTCGCGCGACTGTAGCTTTACACCGTACATACATTCTATCTCTTTCTCTCCCTCTCTATTTCAGCGTCGTAATTTGTGAAGAAAATTCAACCTCATGATGTTGAACGTATCGCCTCGCTTTTACATCGTACGTTATACATTTCAGCGTGTGGAAAATTACGCAGAGAGAAAGGTAAAATGCATCGTTTCGTGTGTGTGGAATTCGTTTTTATTGTTAAGAACAATAATACTCCTCTGGCTTTTACCGCATCTTCTGCATGGTTATTCGATCGCGAAGATATCTTTCGATGGTGCGGAACGGATTCCCACCGAGGAGGCTTGATCTCCAATGAAATACGAATGTTGTCGTGCTAACCGCATTCGTCTTTCGCTTATCAGCTTGTGTATGCATCTTCGGACAATACGAAAAATAGTTTCATTTCATTTCCGGTACCTCGCACACTATTTTGGTTTGAGAAAAGCGCGTCGGAAGCTGGTCCTGAAGTCTCGGCGAAACAAGCGAATTACCGCCAGTATTCTTCGCTCGGGATGTATGTATGTATACATATATATATATATATATATATATATATATATATAT